TGATTTTAAGCAAGAATGCTTATTATTATGTGTTTACGATATGTTTCAAAACTAAAAGATCAGTGTTACCCTCCTCTTCTCTAGCCGGTTCTGTCTGCGCTGAACAATGTTAAATGTTTTCTCAAACATGTCATGGGCTTCTCCCAGTAGTGCAGGATTTTTACCCAGTCAAAAGTTGATCAAGTATTTGAATTTTTCCTCTGTGTGATTAAATCCTTTCTGCCTGACACTTGCACTTGTGAACACTGCCCCGTTCTGCTCTTTTTTAATGACTGTTATCCCTTCATTGTGTTCTGTCCAGACCTTGACCAGGTCGTCACTGTACACGCTAACCTGCTGTCAACTGATCTGGTAAACATTCACACTGGATTATTCATGTCTACATACAAAAGCTGCACTTTGCACAATACAGGGGTTCCCAATTTTGAGCCTCTCGGGCTGCGGTTCAACAGGCCTCATATGTGTCTTTAAAACCAGGTTTGCTTGAGAGCAAGGAAAAGGATTCAACTTGCTCATGAACGCCTTCCAGGGCTCCCAGTCTTGGGTGTCCTGGGGAGACTATACACCTGTTGCTTGCTGTACCTAATGTACCCTCAGTTACACGGTTGAACATTTATTTCACATAAGAGTAATAAGTAAGTAATTAGTAATAAGAGTATTAGTTTCAAGGCTTTGTTTTCAGCACCTGAACATGTTAGAGGCTGCCTTTTAAGTACTATGTTTCAAACACAACCTCAAACTTAAAAGATGAAAATAGAAGAAGAGTTTTTAGTTCAATTCAGGAATTCAGTTCAGTAAGGGGCGCAAATCAGCAGATGTGTAGGACTCCAGGACTAGGACAGGGAAGTGTCAAGGTGATAGATGGGGTATCCCAATTGTCCCAGGAGGTGGAAATATTAATACCCCCTTGTAACCATGGCAACGTTTGTAGTCCTCTGGGTTGCAGCTGTACCAGTTTAAAACTACTACTTCCTGGAAGTTACGGGACTCTTGGTGGCCACCTGATAGTTTAGCCTAGGTTGACTACTTGCATTTGTTTTGTGTTGTTTCAGAGATCTCTTGGCTTTTTGTTTGATTTCTCCCACAGTGATGTGCTAAGAGTAATATAAGGCTATAGACACTGCAGAATCAATAAAAAAAAATAAAACAGAATGAAATGAATTAAGGTAAACAAATACAGAGACAAAGGAACTGTGAGGGTGACACCTATGGAGAACAGTTAAAAGGATAAAATGCTATTAAGCACAAACAAATGTTTAAACATTGCCTTACGATAGTCAGCAAAGGGGTTAGTTTACTGACTGCTCAAACAGAAATCGCACAAGGACTTTATTTAGTATCCCAATGGGAGTTAGGTATTTTTTTTCATTTCTTTTATTCCCTTTATGGAACTGGAAAATGACCTGTAAGGACAAGTGAAAACACTCTGCCTGTTGTGACCAGCAACTCCAATGCTCACGACAAAAGGCTCATGAATTCCATCCGCAACTGAGGATGCTGCTGTCACATCCTTGAGCAAAGTACCACAAGGAAACCCAGCTTTATACCCTGGTACCAACATATGTTAGCAAAAACAAAAGGAGCGACTGTAAAGACAGGCAGTCGCTTTGGCTAAAAGTAGCAGCCAAAACAAAGTCATAGTGATGACAACATGGCTGAGTCAGCAGTCAAAACACAGACAGGGGAAGGAAGGAAGGTGTCTCACCGAACGGCAGCTCGAAGCGTGTGTCCAGCAGGATACGGTGAGGTGTGGGATTCTTAGTACCGTAGATTTCGTCTTCCTTCATCAGGACCTCAGCGTCCAGCGCAGCCCACTCCCCTGGACCCTCCTGCAGGGAGTCAGAACACTGCAAACCCAGGTCTCCGCTCAAAGAACCTCTCAGAAACCCGCAGCGTTGAACTTCAGGCTACATGTCTTCCCAATGCCTTGATAAAATAGCAGTTCACTGGCTCCTGCACCTTCACCTGCAGACATGCTGGTTATAGTGGTTTCCTGTACCTCACTGGCAAGCCACTCTTAACACTCCTGAGCTTTTACTTTTACCACTAAAGCTCACTTCTCTCCAAGCTAACAGTTCTGTTCTCGACTGACACCTTCACGAAGTTTGTGTTCCAGATCATCACATTTACGGCTCTTTCAATTAGTCTATACCACTTCTCAATTACACAGCTTTCACCTCTGTTCTGCATTGACTCCGAGAAGCAACCTTCCAAGCCAACTTAATAAGCTGCTGAATGGCAATTTCACATCCATTTACTAATGAGTACATGCAATGTTATACAGTATGCTTGTTGTGTTTGTTTGCATCCCATGAGTTTCATAGAACATGTACTTACAGCAGTGTGAAGTAACAGCCAAGACATTGGTTAAAAAAACTCCCTCAAGTCAGTTGTTTAGAGGTGCTTTCATTTTGACCCATTAATTGGAAAAAACATAATTAATAATGAATCTAATAAATACACGCAGGCAGAAAGAATCCATATTTTGTAGCACTTGGAGATAAGGTGGAGAAACTGCTGTAAGTTTACATGTGTTTTGGTTTTTTTGAGTAAAAAACTTCCCAACACTCAAGAATTTTAAAATGAAAGGTCCTTAATAATTGCTCCATGTGAAAACCAAAATAGTGCCTCTGTTGCTTAAATAAAAAAGTTTAGCTTAATTTGCACTGAGATACTTTTCTGCACTCAGTGAAAATTCCTTTCTACTGCACAGTATTACTGGATAATATAAAACAGTCAAAAACCAAGCTTCTTTTTGAGATGACAGGTGCCTTCTGTGAATGTTTATTCCTCATCTGTAAATCCAGAATACACTAGACAATCTAAACACACCACTGCCTTTCTTCTGACAGCACATGCATAGAGAAAAAAAAAGGGAGTGGTTAAATATACCAGATGGCAGAGAGAGCTTTAAGTAAGAAGTGTATCTCAGAGCTTCCTATTTTCTATTCCTTTTTTGTTTTTGAAGGGAGAGCAATTTAACATCTTTTAGAAAAGGAGTTTTTTTCTCTCTCTCTCATCTAGACCTTGCAAAGAGTGACAACTGTACGGAATGTGTTATGGACTCAAATGAACTTTGTAATTCGAAATTCATCCAATTATTGCAGATGAAACTACATCAGTGATTTACATAAAAAGGTCAGCATGTGACCTGTGTGTACAGTTACAGGAACTGAAAAATAAAATCAAAGCATGGGACATGGCACGACACTATGTCTTTTTATGGCTCAACTTTGAATTTTTCAGGTGAAACTGTCATGACAAATAAATAGGAGGGCTGCTTTGTGCCCTTTTGTTCGTGCGTACTGAAGCTCAGTAAGGCCGCCTCACCTCGTCAGACTGACGAATACTGTGGAGTGGGATCCACACAGTGCCCACCATGGTGTCCCAGATGAGGCCCTTATTCCACACCTCCACAATCAGCCCCAGGTCCAGGCGGTTGATCTCACTACACAGAGAGAGAAGGAGAAGACTCGCATATCACAGTGTGAGGGAGACCCTGCCCAGAGAGCAAAACCAAGGCCCTGCTCCCCATCAGTGAAACGTACGTGTGGCGGAACGCAGGGGTGTGGCCAGTGTGGAGGCGGGGCCCTGGATTAAGGGCGACGCACTGGCTTAGCAACCGCAGCTGGGCTGGCCCACTCAGGATGAGCCACAGCTGTGGGAGCCCTCTAAGACGCACAGAGCAGCTCCCCAGAGGGACGAGCGAACCCCCGCAAGGAGAGAACTTTCTAGCGCCAGT